AGTAAGTGGTAAAGTCGGAATTTGAATCAGCATAGTGTGATCCCAGCATCCAAACTCTTCATTCCTGGGAGGTACTGCCTCTTGTGTATTCTAAAGCTCTCAAGTAGGTGACACTCATGGAATAATCATTCAATAAATAAAAAATTCTGATGGGTGCCATGAAGAGGTACCTCCACAACATCATCTGGCTACCACCAAAACATTTTTCTTTTCCTTTTGGATACACAGACTACATTTCCTTGCCTCCCTTGCAGTTAAGTGTGGTTGTGAAACTTAACTCCCTTGCAGTTAAGTGTGGGATGAAATTTAACTCCCTTGCAGTTAAGTGTGGTCATAAGTCCTGGCCAAGGGAATGTGGACCAAAATGAGGTACATACTTCCAAGTCTAAACCATAAAGCTTCTTGGTTGGTCTTCCATGTTCTCCTCCAGCACCAACCCTCTATGCTGGCTGAAAACAGTGGATGCCAAAATATAAGAAGCATGATCCATGAATGACTCAATGAAGTAGTGTCCCCTGAAGATCTACATTGGATAGTGATTCGAGTGAAATATATTTTATCAAGTCACTGAAATTTTGGAAATAGTTTATAATAGCTGTCAGCCTGCCTGGACTAATAGAAACAAAAACAAAAACAAAACTTTGATGTTGAATGCTACTGCAATTAAAAAAAAAAAAGCCCTAAAACATGGGACCTTAAATTAGCAGTTGGGTCAAGGATGGTGTGGAACAAGATAATGGGAGTAGCCAGATTTGAGTCACAGATAAGTCACAGGCAAAAGAATTGCTACAAATGTTGTTTATGACACTTTAGAAGGCAGCACACCACTTATCTATTATAATAAGCCTTTAGCTCTAGAGGAAGTTTTTGGAGAGAGTAAAAATAAATAAATAAGGTGTATTGACTACTGTTTAAGGGCTTTAGTGAAGTGTTGAAAGAAAAGCTCAAGCAAAAAATGGCTGATTTGCAAGAAGAAATAAAAAAAGAATTGAAGGAACTCTAGAAACATTGGAGTTAAAAGATTAGAAAGCTAACTAATTCTAGATACCCAAATACGAAACAATTTTTTTTTTTTTTTTGTAGAGAGGTTTTTGCTATAGGGCACATGCGCTTGCCAGAGAGACAGAGAGAAACAGAGAGACAGAAAGCAAGAAATCACCCTCCAAAGGGGATGACCACTCAACAGTAGCAGCAATCCCTTCTCTGTTCTCTCAGGATTTAGGGCATGAATTCCATATGCCGGAGTGAGTTTTAAGCCACTGGGACTGGGACTCGAACTGCAGTCAACTACATGGGAGTCCAGCAACATAACCATTAGGCCATTGGCTGATCCCAGGAAACAAAATATTAAAAACCCTTCAGTAACAGAAGTCCAGCCTCATAGCAAGATCAGATTAAAAGCTTGGCCTCCTCACTCAATCTGATGGCCTGAATACAGCCCCCATTAAATTGAGAGGAAGCATCAGCAGGTGGTATGGTGGTTAAAGCGCTAGACACTCCCACATGTCCACATGACTGACCACAGTTCAAATCCCAGACCTGGTGGCTTGCTTTCTCACTTTTCCTCTCTCTGTACCTCTGGTCAAATTAAAATAAATGAATGAATAAATAAAATTAAAATAAATAATTATTTTTTAAAAATTGAAAGAGGAGAACCGGGAAAGAAAACAAAGATGTAACCCAACCTTGAGAATTATGTTTAGGACAAAACTCTTGTGGTTGTGATTATTAGCAAATGGAATTGACTAGAAGCAATTAGATCAGAAGTCCATTGAGGTTTTAAGATATTCATTCAAGATAGAGAAATCCTTTGACTATTTAAGTTGGAAAGTAACCTTTGGATCCCATAATTGCACGAGTAAGAAGTGAGTTGAGCAGCCTATCAGGAAGGTAGGCTCCCAACACCCTCTTCATTTGTAGCAATGGATAATAGAAGACAAGAACCTTGTAGCCCAGCAAAGTCAGGTGCTGTAGAGTACATCGGACAAAGGAATTCCTTGGAAAGGACAGTAAGATTTAAGAGAAGAATTTTTCCTACCCTTCACAATACCTATCTGAGAAGGATCTCAGAACTGCTGAGGAAAAGAAACCACTCTATCTGTTCTATTGGTCCAGTCTCTTCTGTTTGTCTTCCTGCAGAATGAATGTTAATTGCACTTTTTTTCTGTTATACATGTACATACACGTATCTTCGCTTGGTTTTACTAGTTCGGATGAACATGGATTGCTTTTATAAAAATAAAAGTAACTAAAACAAAGGCAAGTTTACCATGAACTTAATGAAGCTAAACTGAGGTCTCACTTTGCATGGGTCTCTGTTTCAAGTCTTTAGGAAAGTGTGTTTTTCCACTATAGTCTTTCCACTATTGTCTCACTTCCCTTTACATCAGGTGGTAATGGAGTAGTTCTGGATATTTTGGATATCTGGCTAACGGCAAGTCAAGTTGGGGATACATTTCATTTCAGGACTATAATCATTTCCACTTAAATAAGTTATTGCAGGCTGCCTTTGTACCAGTTAATTCTGGGAACACCCCTATGGCCCTCTGCATGCTTTACTTGGCATCCTGTCATGGAGGTACAGGACTAGAGGTTATAATGTGGTCTAAACATATGGCTCGCACTGTAGTTATGTGACTAGTGTGGATGAAACAGGGATTGAAAGTACGAAGCCAGAAGTTAGTCTAGGGAAAATTCTTCCAATCATTAGACAAGTATAATTGCAAATAGAGAATCTGGTTATCATTAATGTCAAGCCAAAATGTTCTCTCCTATCAGGGATTTTCTCAGTAACATAGTATGTATAAGTTAAAATGCACCATACATTTTGCTTTTTTATGGGGGGGGGAATCACGTGAGATAGAACTAATCAGAATTCTTGCAACAATACATAAACAGCCTGTACTATGTGTATGCACTTATGGCTCATGCATCCCAATTATCAAGAGTAAAAACAAATTTGATCAACTATTCTGGGGGAAAAACTGACTTATCTTCTCTTAAAAAGATTATTAAAAAAAAACTACTGTCCTATGCATAGGCTGGCTGTGATGTTGAAGTGAGGTCAGGTGTATGAAGCACTTAGGCATAAAACCTGCCATACAGCACAATCTCAACAAATTAGATCTATTTCAAACTAGCTCTACTTTAAAAAAAAATCATTGTCTTATGATGAGACAAAAAATATGCAGTCAAAAAGTTTAGGAAAAAAAGGAATGAAGTTGTGTTGAACAGCTAATTTTCAAAAGAGATTTTTGCCAGAGGGTATGTATGCTTACATGTTTGCAGGAGACAGAGGGAGAATGGGAAAGCACCCCTCATGGGGCATGGTCATACTGCAATCCCTTCTCCTCCATCACTCTCTCCTTTCAGGATTTTGGGCATGGATGTACACATAGCCAGTGTATTTCTCAAGCTGGCAGATCCAAGTGTCATACTGTCTAGCTAGCCATGTGGGACCCAGCCACCTTAACCACCATGCCATGGGCTGACCCTGAACAGCTAGTTAAATGTTGTATTTCTTGATATTGTCATGTTTGTATATTTATAGGGTTATTTATTTATTTTTAGGTTTTTGCCACAGGGCATGTATGCTTACCAGACAGAAGGAAAGTAAGAAATCTCCCCCAGTGGGTATGGCCACACCATAATCTCTTCTCTGTTCTCTTCTCAGGATTTTTGGGCACACATGGAATGATCCTCAAGTCACCAGGGCTGGGACTCAAACCATTGTTGGTCATGTGGGTGTCCAGCACCTTAACCACCATGCCATCTAGTGGCCCCTATAGGGTTCTTAAAATGTGTAAACTCTTGTGATTTCTTTTCTAAGTCTAAAAAACTCCATCTAACCTAATTTTGTATTTGCACATTTTTGTATTCTTTTTTTTTTCCTTGAAAACTCACAGAAAGTAAAAGCTTCAGGTCCCAGAAGACATGGATCCTTCTCTGAATTAAAAATATGCATATTTATCTCTGTATAGCAATATATCAATGCAAGTTCTTATTTATTTTAATTGACCTAAGGCAGAGTTGGTTGCATGCAAACACAGTGGAGCAGTTATCAGAATTGAGACCTTCCAAAAGATTAAGTGCAGGCTTAATAGAAACTTACATAAATGAAAATGCCCACAGCAGAGGAAACTGTGGGTAAATCATTTAATTTTGAAGGCGGAAACTTCAGACACCATTTAGTCTGTAACTTGAATTTGTCTTGGCTGCCTAATCTCCACATAGTATTAAAGCAGGCCAGCAGGACTGCAGCCATTCTTCTAAGGAGAACAATCTGACCAATCTACTCTCACTGAGAGTAGAGCAATCTGAGGACTGAACAGATGAGAAACCAGGAATGGGTACTTGAAGGAATAGGAATTATTACTCAGGACACAGCAACGGACTCTGACTGTAGTGAGGAATGATTTGCACGTGCTTGTATCTTGTACTCATAAATATCAAGAATGTGAAGTGCTTTTTGAGACAGTTTGATGGTATTTGCTGTTTCCCTGTAACCAGTTGCAGAAATAAATTCCCTCCTCCAGCTTCTGCCTTTCATTTTATTGACCACAAGAAGAAGCGGCTGGACTTAGTTGGCAGGTCACAGTATGGAAACACAGGTCTGATATCCAGAAAAAGAAATGCAAAGTCATTTAGATCTTGAGAAAAGTCTTTTCAAGAGGCACCACCAAAGGGGAGAAGTATTGATGTACACTAAGGATGTTCAATCACTTATTTCCTCTAAATCCCTCTTATCATGACGGTTACTACTTCGCAATTCTCTTCTTCAGGCTGTCCCTCTCCTGCAACTTTGTCCAGTACGACTCACTCCTCTATAGCTAACTTAGCGCATTACTGTGTAGATCAGTTTAGTTACCGAGTACCTTACAGTTCTCCTCTTTAACTTTTATTCGAATCTACACAACCAGGTCTCAGGAAGGACTTGACAAACCACAGGATGAAGAATAGAGCTGAGCAGCAAGAGGAAGATGAAGGCTGGGTATACTTACATGTTTTGGTTACAAGTCTAGTCCTCTGCTTTGCACATGAATGTTACGTGACTGGACACAAACCTATTGAGTCAAAGAGAGTTGGCCTAAACTTCAGGCTTATTTCGTTTGAAATAACCCTTGTCCTAGTTCGCTAAGAGACAATACTATGGTCTGCCATATAGGGTCGCTTTGGTCCCCTAGTGGAAAAAACCTGGCCGGGGATGGAATAGGTGAGGAAGCCTGAGTTCCAGCTCTTTCTATCGGGCTGCGTGACCTTGGGCAAGTTATGTCCTCACGAAGACTCAGGGTCCTCCACACAAGAACAGGTTGGGCAAGATGAACTCTTGGGTCCTGTCTAGCATTAAACACGCTGTTGGCTATGGCAGTGGTGGCCTGGAGTAGTCAGAAACCCTTGTCCCCATCTATCCATCATCTAACTGGGGGAGAGGGAGGATCTGGGAAGAAGGGGGTCTCACCTCTCCCTTGGTTACCTCTCTGGTGTCTCTGTAGGACACACCGGGTGACCATCTCTGGTTAATGGGGCCTCTAGACTTGGGCTCTCCAGGGGCTGTGAGCAGAGAAGACCCCTCCACGCACCGGCATACCCCGGGCCGGAGGATACCTCTCACCACCACCCTTTCAAAGCCAGCTTCAACACGGACGTCTCGGCCCTCACGGTATCCACCGCGCAAGCGCAGCCACGAGCCCGGCGCAGAGCGGACGCACTCGGAGGCCGAGGCAAGGTGAGAGGGCGGGGCCGGCACGGCCCCGCCTCCAGGCAGTCACGTGGGAGGCGG